TCAAACGGAATCTGCGAAAGAATTATCGGTACGCTCAAGAACAAAGTCACCCTAGCGTTAGAAAATAATCGATCCCATATACCCTCAGTTATGAGCTATAACAATACAATACACCCGAGTACAGGATTCTCACCCTACGAACTTTTCTATGCTCGTACACCTAAGGAGATTATGACTGGACCACTATTAAGAGACATAATCGAGGGGAGGTTTAGTAAAGCTGCTTAAGATAAACTTGCAGCAAAAACAAAAATCAATGAAAGTAAAGAAAGAAATAAGAAGGTAGTCGACTCAAGACAATCATTAAGATTCAAACCGGAACTGCAGCAACAAGTTATATTCAAATTAGGAAATGAATATCTTGGGCCAACGACGATACTCACGATAAATCGAAATACAAATACTACACAAATATTATATAACAACGCTATATTTAGACGTCATTTCAATCAGCTTAAACCATTGCCCGACATCTTTGTTACAGATAAAGGATTCTTGCTACTGCTTGCCCTAATCATTAGCACGCACGGGCAGATTAACATGAAACACCAATCCATACCATTGCTGAGACAAAGTTTCGGTACTGCTTATCTGTATGAAGATACATGGACCGTAATTAATCACATCAATCTATCCGCATTTCTGCAAAACGGAAATGAAATTGAACAACGTTTAGATCTTATAGTTTCTGTTTGCAAAAGTCATACCTGTCAAGTCAAAGACTTCATCATGCACCAAAAGCGTAGGCTAAATAGCCTTACACAAAGTATATTACTCTTCCAACCACACGATACAAAAGTTAATAACATACAAAAGAGAGGCTTATTCAACTTTTTCGGATCAGTCAATAACTTTCTTTTCGGTACTATGGATGCAAACGATGCTGAATATTATAATCAAGAAATAGAAAGACTGTACAGCCACACAGGAAAAGCTTTGATGGCCGTAGGAAACCAAACCATATTTATGTAGGACACCTTCAATGAATTTTGAAAGGAATTTCATACGTTCAAAAGAAACAAAGAAGAGTTGCTAAAATGGAGTAAAAATATGAGATCCATATTCACAGACTATCAAGCCAACGCAACATCTGTCGCTTGAAAAAATTGACGTTTCCATAAAAGAATATGATTAATACATATCAGAGTTATTTACATCTATAAATATTGCACGAAACCTCATATTATCACCAGCTTTTATAAAGCCGGAAACGCTCATACAAGGTTTACAAGAAGCATATAAACAGAACGTATATATTGATATACTCATACCACAACATATTATCGGCCAGGAACCGCTAATGCAACAGCGGATGCCTTATTGAGGAACCCGCATGAACTAGCGAGCCAGGATAATATGATTTTTTATGTAAACGTTACTACTAGGAGACAGAGTAAATTAAATAAACAACTAGAATCGCCCGATAAACCAGATCTCCAACCTGAACCACCGCCTTGAAATAACGAAATCAAGAGATCACGTGGTAGACCTAAAAACGTCCCTTCGGATCAAGCCTTGAAGTTAACTTCTAACCTTGATCCTGTGATAAAAGAATCACTTCACAACGATGAAAATGCCGTCACCCCCAGAAGATATTCACAAAGAACTCGAAAAGAATTACAGACAAAATGATGCATTCATTCTTTTTCTTACTGCTATCCTTTACAATAACTATTCCAGTGACGGCCATTATAGGATACGATTGTGGAGGAAGATCACTTAACATAACAACTGTATTCTTATTAGATGTAGAAGAGTGTGAAGTGCCTTCCACTAATATTAACATGAGACAACATATTCTATTATTACAATTAAACAACTTTGAAGACACACACGTAATTCAATATAAAATTTAAATAGATAGAACGGTTTATTATTGTGGAATGCACTCACACAATTCGATTGTAGAAAAGGGTGCGATCGAATACTTAATGGATGTAAGCCGACAAAGTTGTTACGATTTATATAAAAGCGGTACTTTGTATTTCGATAATGTACATATATTTCGCGACATAAAGATTAATCAAACTACGACTAGACTTGCAGTACTTGCCGGCACTGTAAATCAAGATGGGAAGTGTACCTCCGGTAGTTTCTCCGATGTTTACGGAACTTGGAGTAGCATGTTAGTCCAAGCCAAGATCAAAATAACTATTCAAGAATATACCGTTGCGTTGATTTAAATAACGATCAAATAATTTTTCGTAGCGGTGTTAGATGTAAATTTGGGAATGAACAATGTATCGATTCGGAAGGAGGATATACATTTTGGGAAAGGGCACCGCGCGACTCTTGTTCTATTAATCGATATAATGTATTATATAACGGTGTAGCTAATGAAGTTACAAGTGAAACTGGACAAACTCTGTTCTCTTTAACTACGCAAGATATTACTTTTGCATTAATAACTAAGTCTAAGCGACATACATGCGGTTATGAGATTAGTGATACCGAACATCCAAAATTGTTCATACGTAAGGTTAAGAACGATATGTTATTTCCCAGTAAGAAAATTTCTTTAAGTAATTTAGATATATTTGCGTATATAAATTCAAAGTTTGTATTTGTGGAGCGTTATATTAAGTTACAAATAACAAATTTGTATAGGGATGTTGTTGTACAACGTTGTAGTCAAGAAAGAGATATTTTGAAAAATGCACTTGCTATTGCCACGCAATCTCCTGATCAATTTGCTTATAATCTCATGAAGGAACCTGGATATATGGCCGTGACGGCAGGTGAAGTAGTACATATAGTTAAATGCATACCAGTTGATGTGAAAGTCTCGCAAAGTGAAGAGTGTTATGCTGAACTGAAAGTAATTCATAACAATCATACAAAATTTTTATCTCCGAAAACTCACATTTTGAAAGCACATGGAACAATAGTTGATTGCAACGTTTTGCTACCCACATTTTTTTATTTCAATGAAGATTGGTATAAGTTTTTGCCTAGAGCAGTAGAGGCTAAAGCACCTACCACTCTCAAACCTTTTTCTGGATTAACGTGGAAATATCAGAATATCCCCGCACTTGCTACAAGTGGAATATACACGGAAAAAGACCTACAAGATCTGACAAACCGTATCATGTTTCCTATGGAACGACCCACAACAATGAACGACGTAGTTCGAGTAATTCGTGGACATGCCGTCAAGGATCGTGAAGGAATAATTGGAGGACTCTTGAATGAAAATGTGATGGAAAAGTTAGTGATCAATACCTGGAACAAAATGTGGACTAAATTTATGACTTTCGGAACATTCAGCGCCGGAATATTTGCAATCTTGCTAATTATACAAACCATAAAGAAATTAATAGAGGTTTTCATAAATGGAATAACTCTCCACAGCATTTATGGATGGTCTTTCCATTTAATCGGCGCCATATGGAACAGCCTAACTACGCTTTTGATACACTTAGCCTAAAGTCTAAAGTTACAGTGACAGAAAATATCACGGAATCAACAAAGAATGACGCTTCAGCGCCGAAAAAGGATTATCTATATCCATCTTTGCATCCTACAGAAAATGAAGCGACTGAGATGAAGCAAAATAATCCTACTTCACCAACTCAATTTACGTCTCTCAAGCCATCATTTGGGTTTCTTTCATATTGAAGCCAAGAGATCTTTTTTTTATTACATATATATCTTTAATTTCGTTCTCTTCACGTCTATAATTCTATATGACAAAATCCTTAGAACCATATCTTAAGTTTAGATTGCTTTTCCTCGTTTCACTCCTTAAGCAACCGTTTAAGTGTGGGGGTGTAACGACGGCTCAAAATAAAAAAAAAGACAAAAAAATACCGGCCACACACTTAGCTCGTAAATTAAGATGAAAAACTGCGTACAGCTGAAAAAAGAAAATTTTTTCTATGAACGGCAGTTTTCGGCTCGCGCATTTGGCAATCTTCGGATGTTGAAAACAATCAGAGCGATTTTACGATTGGGCCATCCGGAGTAGCCAGATTACGAGCATCTTTAGAAAGTAGAGATCTACAGCGCACATGTGCATCCTACCGATAGTACTGTTATTTTATTTTTAATAATTTCAATATTACTAATTTCTTTTAAATTAAGGGAAGCGCATTTGCTTGCAGATCTCTTAAAAAATTGCGAAATTTATCTATTGTAAGTAACATTCAAGTAATCAACAAGGACTATTTTAATTAATAGTTTTTGTTTATTGCTCGGATAGTTTTAATTTTATACCTAAATATAAATATGGAAATAATTCATTATATTTCCGTATTTATTAAGATTTTTTTTGTTGCGAATTTTTGTATGTTTAATCGTTGAATGCGCTCAACTTTGCGTTAGAAAATTTAAGAACGGCTTGAACGAAAGTTAATGACTATATTTATTATAATTAACTCTGATTTTTCAGTATTTCTTAAGGCTTTTTGATAATTAATTAATAGTTAAGACTATTAATATCTTGTTTGTTTACAGATAAATATAATCCTTAACTTTTATTCTGTACTTTAGTTTTATTATAGATTAAGTAATATTTTTGTAAAAATTAGAGTACCACACACACAATTGAATTTAAATACAATTAGTTTAAATAATTAAAGGTCAAAATAGTACATAGAGGGTCATCTATGTGAAGAAGGCCCAAAGCACTTAAATGAGGCCACTCCCGCACACTCCGCCCCCGGCCAATTAGGGTTGGGTTCGAATTTCGCTTACGCTTGAGACACTCCCCAAATTTTCCAATCAATTAAGTTAAGAAAATTTGAGTTCTTCCTGCCCAAAAATGACAAAGATTTTCGAGTGGGAGTCTCTTGCGAAAAATATAAAAGGGAGCTTTTCAAGAAAATTAGACAGTTATTTTTCTAATTTAGTTCGTGCAACCATTTCGAATTCGTTAGCTATTTTTCAAGCTCGTCCAGTTTAGTTAGTTTTAGTTATTCTTTCCAGTGTGTGTGTGTGTGGGAAACTAATATAAAAGTGAGTAAGGAAAATTAAATAAAATTTTTTTATTCTAACTTCTTTCTACATTCTTTTCTCTCCTTATTCTTTCCTATTTTAGTTTCGCGTACGGTTTGTCTTTTTAGATAGTTACACTCGATTGCCAAGCGTGTGGTCGAGTGCATATTAGATAGGCCCCGCTTTACGTTATTTTATTGCCAAGAGTGTAGTAAAATAATGCGAAGCATTGCTATATTGCCAAGCGTGTGGTATAGTAAAGCTTCGATCCTCCGTCGCCGAAAAAAGAATTTCCCGCGATAGTGGTGACGCACGTCCCGGTTATTTTCCGTAAGGATAGACCAAAAAGTGCGCCTGAGAATTGTTTCGTCAACCGACGTTACATAGTTATGTATTTTCAATATTTTGGTAAAAAAGCATTAAACTGTAATAAACTCGAGTATCAGAATACCGGCGGATTCTTATGATTAAAAAAGTTCCCTTAAGTGACATGCAGATTGACTACCTGAAAACGCTATAATTAATATTAATCAATTTCATATCGCATACCACGGAGTACATATACATTACACTTATAAAATATACCGTTGTGTATGTACATCATTATTAGAATGTATATAATATTTTACAAAAAGCTTATTATTTATATCTTTTTTCCATGCAAATGGCTTATTCAATTATAATAAGTTACAAAATTTTTTGTAAAATTAACTTATAGCAAATGTAGGTTAACAATGATAGTAACAATTATGAAGCTAGAGAGTTTCATTGTCGAAGAATTCGACATTGAGTCAGACTTTCCTCTGAAGTAATTTAAATTTACAAGTCCCCATTCAGGAATGTTGCGAGTTTTTTTCATCATCCAGTTGTATCCTGTCGGGCGGAGCTGTTTTTTCAATTCAGCGCCTACTTCATCTCTTATGCGTTTATTATATTCATTAAGCCAACGTCTCTAAAGAAATGAATATATATATATATATATATTTGATTTGATATATATATATTTGATATATATATATTTATATATATTTATATTTGATATATATATAAATATGTATATATATATTTAATTTTCTATGCAAATGGATATTAGATATTTCTATTGGAAAAATTCTAATAAGAACTATGCAAAGGTAATTGTAAAATATCATAAACATTTGACAATTTCGCATAAGTATGTGAAAAAAATGTACTTACGTGTAACGGAGATAACATTTCTGTTTCTATCAATTTGGGTTCGTAAGGAACAAGAGCAACGTCCCGGAATTGTAAAAATTGTTGATTCCAAGATGTCTAAAACATGATAATCAGAATTATTTATATTCATTATATGATTTCTATGTATTATTGATGGTGCAACAATTTCTTCTGCATTGTAATAGCATTCATTTTGTTTACAGTCACATTGTAAGGTGCTCTGTCGATTATTTAACCTTTAACTGCTATGTGGGGTAGATTTACTCCAGACAATTTTTAACAATAAATAAAATTTACTTTTTTTTTTTCAACAATTTTTTTTCAGTGTGTGTAACATTAAAAATTGTTAACCTGAATATTTTTTTTGTAGTAAAAGGTTTGAAATATACTAGAAAAAATTTTTATAGCAAAATATCTAAAATTCTCTGATTTATTCGATGTTTTTCGGGCTGGGGTAGATTTACCTCACCGAGCAGTTACGTGGCCAAACTAAGATGTGCAAGTTAAGGGTTAACTAGCACAGAAAAAATTTATTTGCAAAAATAACAGCATTAATTAAAGGCTATAAAATACTTATTTTAAATAAGTACATTGTTGCAAATTGTAAGTGTAAATCATTGATGAAATAATTAAAAATTTCATTGCTTTGCTTTTGTTATCGACGTTTGGATACAACGAAAAGTGAAAATCATAAATAAAATTTAATAACTGAATTTCTAATTTACCGGTACACTTGCAGGAACTACTTCAATAACATTTTCAAGTCGAACGCCAAAATCATCTTCTTTGTAGTATCCTGGCTCATTTGACAAAAAGTATCCTGGTTTTAAAAGTGCGCTATTACATCCTGGCACTGGAGGATCTCTCTTGCCCATACAAGTTACGGTGATTGGTGCTAAAATAAATATTATTATATATTTTTTTAATAAATAAATGACCAAGCATACTAAATATGTGTAGAACTTGATGAACTAAACTGCAGGAATTTAATTATACGCAAACGTATGTATAACTAGGCTTATGCTAAGGCTTGGCTCAGCTTGGATTTAAGGACAAAAGCTTGAATCGGTTCAAGGTTAGAAGTTGCGGAAATTTTACTGTTTTCGAAACTATTTTCACCAATTAGCTTTTGAAATGTTATTATGCTATATCTTTAAATAATAATTTTATAAATAGAGCTAGTATTTGAGTTGTAGACTCCGTTCGATTTTTATAAATGTTTTGACCACAAGGTAAATTAAAGATTTTTATTTTTCTATAAAACAATGCTCGAGCTTTATAAATTCGGGAGTTTGGAAGCTCGGGCAATGATTTATTGCTTGTTTACATAATAAGTCATTAATCTACAAATTAACAAAGCCAAACCTGAAGTTATTTATATATCTGTACATACACATTTACATATATAGCGATGCAGCTGATTATTATTCGAGCCTATAACTGTCCTCAAGGATATCGATATGCTTGAGGGCAGTTAAGGCAGTCTTAAGGAAGTAAGTTAGTTCAAAAATAGTTTTAGTTTACTGTCACAAGAAAAACGTATTATTTATATCTTGTACTAGTGCTAATATTTCACTATACTTCCTAAAAATAGCAATATAAGTAAACTAATAAGACACCAATAATTTAGATAGTAATTTCTAAGTCTTATATTCAAATTGATCTTTCTTGCGAAGTAATTTAGCTAGAAAAATAAAAAAATGTTCAAAAGCATAAATAAGAAAAACAAGTAATAAGCTCAGTCGACTCGTAGTCTCCGTACAGGTTAGACGTATTTCGCTTTTTCTGTTATGCTATGATCGCAAGTGTTTTTCCTTTCGATAGTGTAGTATATTTCATGTGACTTAATTCTGACTCTCATTACATATAGTGAATTTACGAAATAACCTGCTGTAAGTGCATCTGATGCATTACACCACAGATTCCCAACATGTCAACTTCTGACTGCAGAGGTTCACAAACCACTCCACCCAACGAGATGAGCCAACACACTAGGTTCAACAATCAACACAACTCAATTACGCAAGAGCAAATAAAACCAATTTCTCCAAAAAAGATCAAGCTATAATGATAGATTCAATCTTAATTGAAGATTATAAAAACAAGATAGCTAAGCTTACCGCTCCGACAAATATTAGATTTACCTCATGAATATCAAATAATAGAGTTTATATTTATTTGTCTTCCAAAGAAATAGCACATGACCTTATCAAAAAGCAAATCTCAATAAAAGAAATCCAAACCTCTGATAGTACAAGCAAAAGGACTAAGTTTATCGAATGTGTGCACGGTCATTGTACATTTTTTTGACACCAGCGCTAATGGGATTATATTGTACAATGCGATCGTGTAATTAAGCAGTAGGCAGCAGTATCTTCAGGAAAATCGGCCTGAGTTTCAAATTCTAGGTGTACATCAACTGGCGCGCTTTTTAATGTTTCATTTTGTTTGGAGTAGTCTATAACTATTAGCGGTACTTTATTAATGAAATCATTTTTATTGAGCAACGGCTCGTTTTCTTTACCATAGTAGGCGTTTTGAAAATTAGCACACATATCGTAGAGAACAGCATACTGATTTTTACTGATGTTCAAATTAAGATTTCCATATGGATAGCATTGTGAATTGAGAAATAGCTTCACATTACTAATGTTACAATGATCAAAATTACTAGAATTAACGCTCGTTGAACTTTTACATTTAGTTTGAAAAACTAAAATAACAAAGCGAGGCTTTTCTCATTGATTGGGAGTCTGAACACTCGAAATATGCTTTGATCTACGAGGTAATTTTAGATACTCGTACATTTTCCAAGTAAGATAACTCATTGCAATTGCACAATCTCATCCAATCTTATTAAGTAATTTAATTTTTTCTTTGTCGACAACCATTACATATGGTATCAGCCATTCAATCTTAGTTAGAGTAATTTTTTATTTTTCTGAAGCAGTAGGATTCCCTATTGGTTTGCTTAAAATAGTGAAGCCGTAGCTTATCTTATTTACAATGGATAGGACTAACTTCTACATTATTTGTTTTACTATAACGTATGTAGTTTTAGAGGAAATGCTAACGTCTGAAGCCGTGAGCGCAGGGTGAAATGAATTATAATTGATGTGAGAATAATTGTTATTATTAATTCAAACAAGGAGTTACAAGTGTAGCGCGACTCGGCAGAACGTAAACCGCGGAGCTGGCAGAAGGCCGAGCTGTTAGCTCGTCTCAAGTTCGAGCTAGAGTGTCTAAAACTCACCCCAGCTACTTGGCGCTTCTCCTCGGAAAATCCGGTGAAAAGTGCAAGTCCCTCCCATGAGGTCCGTGGAAAGGGTAGCTGGGACCGCGGGTTAATATTAATAAAACGAAGGTTGGGCGTGCGCTTTCCCTTAAACAAACTCATTAGCGCGGACGCCCGGCCATCGACGTTTAATGTGTTTATTGCGGATGGCCATAAAATCTCCGGCGCATCGTTCGAGATTTATGAAGTTTTTTGTATAAAACGTAAACTTCTGGCCAACACGTGGAGGGAAAGGGCACGCCACAATAGCATTCAAATCATCTCTTAATCTTGTGAGAAAAAGTTCAATGATATTGACTACAATTTTCCGATAATCTTCAGCAAAGCCCAGTAACATACTGAGAGGGATAGTCACATCAAAATAACCTAGAGCATTACATATTAAAACTTCGTTGTTATCACCATTCCAACCGGCATTTTCAGCGATAGAGCTTTGACATGGATTGAGTGAAAGCCAATTTTTCATGAGGCTTGTTAAGCCGACATTTTTTACTTTATCAATTTCAATAGCATTTATTTCATATCGTATTTCCTCGAATAAATGACAGAGGGCGTTGTTGACTAATATAGTGCTCTCCACTGGCGTAGTACCATCTGGCTTGGTCAACCAACCACAAATATGAATTATACTGCGTGATGGAAACAGAGATAAATCTTGATGCTGAATTGCTATATGGATTTCATCGCTATTTTTGAAATATGATAATGAATAAGGCTAATGCGCACGAACTTCATAATAAGCTATAGACTCATCGAAAGTGATACCTGAATGAATGTCTAAAATTCTGTCCATTTATTGTTGCATACAGCATACTCATATGCACAATATTTTCTTCCACAATTTTTGATGACTTTTAGTCTCAAGCTTTTCAAGAACTAAATGCTCTGAGGTGTGAGCGGTCTGATAGCTCGCTGTTGACTGGTCGCTGATTGACATTTTTGGCTTTTAATATAGCCTCGACCAGTCTTTATATTATAAATGATACCCATTACTATGTAGCCTTTATATGTAATCGCACTGCGATGACTTCTCTTTGAAAGTTAACTAGGATTCCTTCTTGATCAACTATATGAATTTCAAAATGATCAATGCTCCTTACAGCGACTGGAAGGTAAATGACGTGAGAGGGTACTTCTATAATCTTATATTCAGGTGGCACTGCTGGGAAAAATTAATGTATAGTATGTACTTTGCGGTCGTTTATATAAGAGCCTGTAGTAATATTACACTTTACACGTAAAGCGTTGATTTTGAGAATAGTCACGGGTAAGTCAGAACTATGCGTTTCGTTTTTAACAAGCATGCGTTCAGTGAAGCTTAAAATTGATCCAATAGAATCCTCTGGTTCAAAATGTATTTTATGACTGCACTGTATGACATTACGTAAAGTATTATTATTTGGTTTTAGACTAAACGATATATCTTTGGGTGTTAATGTTTCTTTGAGAAAGCTTTCAATATCTTCTATTTCGTAGCTACCAATCGGTAAAGTAATAGCTTCTTGACCTTCAATGTAAAATTTATTATAACCAACGTCAATGTTTGGTATTGAATTAAATGATAATAGCTCAACTAGACCAAGAACGTATTTTTTGTTTGGTGTCAGTCCGATCGATGGAAAATAATGTTTCGAGTACGGATGATGTTCCTGAGAGATCAATGTTTCAATGAATGTCAGTGTATTCTCCATGACAGATTCATATCAAATGACAGTCATTTTTTGAATAAGTATTTTTTATACTAGTCGTCACTTCTATAGTTTATTCAAAAGAAATTTGAGATAAAGATGGCCGCAATTGTACGTATTAAAATCTTGATATCTAATATAATTATACATGATTCTATTAACTTTGAGATAAAGCAATAGATCTATAGGCGGTTACCAAAACTATCAAAATACATAATCTCATCACCTTTCTTTTTATATGCTACTCAACGAGTTTTCATCACCTAAATTTACAATAGCCGTCTCTTAATACTGCGGTCCATCGGCTGGTAAAGCATTATGTATGAAAACTCCTCGAAAATTTGCAATTTTGAGTATTTTAGCATACTTTTTCATATCGTGATCTGTCAGTGCTCAATTAGGTAGTTACTTGCGCGCACGCGCATGCGTAAACTCCTATGTATGTTCCAAGCCACCTGGACCTTCCACGAGGTGGGACGTTAAATAAAATAAATTAAAAAAAAAGTAATAAGCTATAGTTGTATCCAGATTGAATGAAAAATTTGTTGAGTGAGATTATTCTTTTTAGGGAGGTATTGTGTTAGTTAAAGTTATCTGTAATTTTTACAACTTACATTCATGAACAGATAAGAAATGTCCTACACCATGACTAGTGCCATGCATATAATCATAACCTGTTGACCAAAGTGTTTTGCGCGTTAGAACATCCAGCTGGTCAGTTCGTAAGTTGCTTGGAAATACTGTTGTAGTGAGTTCAATCTGGCCCATCAAAACTCGTGTGTAGGCTTCACGTTGAGCCTGTGTTGGTTCACCAAAATGCAAAGTTCGAGTTATATCAGTTGTTCCATCTACGAATAAAAATGTATAATTGTATGTAGCGACAAGAAGATTAATACATAATTGAATAACTTTTCTGAATTTGGTAATCTTGAAATTGGATTGCACAGTTTATAACTTTCATGTACCTTTATACTGACCGCCTGAATCGATAACGAGAGTTGAATCAAGACCAATTTTGATATTGGTCAAATTAGAAGGCTCGTAATGAGGCATAGCTCCATGAGGACCATATCCTACTATAGTCTCAAAAGAAGTCCCGACGTTGTCCTTTTGTTGAAAGCGAAAAGAGTTCACAACTCTGACTACTTGTAACTCATCCCACCCTTCTCCTCCGAGTTCCATTTGCTGTTCCATGAAACCCAGAAAGTCACACATTGCCACGGCATCTTTTAAGTGGGCGTTTCTCATACCTTTCATTTCAACTTCATTCTTTTCAGCTCGTAAATTAATTATAGGCGAAGGTCGGATCAATCTTTTGTCCTCTGAAATCTAAGGGATAGTGTGACGATTAGAATATAACTTGATTTTTCGAAAGCGAAATAAAAAATTAGTCGCTCAATCATCCTGCATAAATAACGTTTCAGCGTAGTATCTAATGGTTGGTAACTAAATTCAACTTCTTTCTTACTAACGTTGATTCTGAAATCTTATTATGAAAAAAAAGTTCATGACTTTCGGAAAATTAGATTTATTTTGCCCTGGCTATTACACATTTGAAGTACGTCGTCAAGATTCGTATTTTTACATCAAATCTTTTCATTCAAGATCGTCATATCTAAATTAATAAATTGTGCATAAAATATGTCATAAATATGCACATAAATAAAAGAATACAAAAACAAAAGTTGGAAATCTTTGATTGTAGATAAGTAATATTAAAGATACGCGAAATTTCGCTAAAAATGTAAATATTCTACCATAACACACCATTCATTTGAATTAATACTCACGCAAGAATTAACTAATTTTGATGAGCCTGGAGAATAAACGCAGCGAGATGGTAACCATACTTTATTCCATAGTTGATTAAATGTTCTCAAGTCTTTGAATATATCTGAATATTCTGCCCAACTGTATTAAACGAAAGAAAAATCATCGTCAAAATATCAAACTGTTTCCAAGTATTTTTAGAATTTACCTTACACAATCCGCATAAAAACAACCATCCATCTTCAAATGAATTTCAGTGTCACGACTTAACTTATTTTTTGGAGTGTACAGCCTGATTTTTCCAAACTCAATTACAGCATAAGCTCTCAATACGTTTGTATTGGGCAAATCATATCCTCGGATATTGAAAAGCCATGCTATTTCATCTAATGCAGTAACCACTAAAGCGCTAACGTTTTGAAATAACATTTCGTCGCGTATTTGCTTAACTTTTTCTTGCCACGGTTTTCCAGAAAATGAAATTTCTAACGGAAACGATTGTCGCGAATCGTACTCTGGCCGGTCTACCTGCCAAATTACATCTATCAAGTTGTTTTCAACAGGAATCAATTTAATGCTAGTATTCGCTGAAAATAAAAGATGAATTTATTTCAAGATAATTTTTTTAGTATATGCTCTATATATATAATCTTTCCCAACTAACATAAACTGATAGAAAATTTCAATATTACATCTCTAGCAATGAATACAGATAATTAAATCGCGACATTGAAAGAACAATATGTTATTAGAGTAGAAAGACATTTTTTGTGTTTTTGTTACATTATTTTATAATTGTACGTAATATATTTTAGTAAACGTCAGGTTAGAGTTGAGTAAATTTCGAGTTTGATGGGCCCAGTCGAGCTTTGATAGAAACCTACTTTGTAGATTTACTAACTATTTAATATGTCAATGATGAACAGTAATTATTCCACGCTGTTAAAAAAAAGTTGTATCTACAAAAATAAAATAGAATATACATTTTACACGCCCCCCACCATCCCTCAATTAATCAATCCTTATTGCCTGGAAGTATTAATTTTAATATTTTGTATTACATAATACCTAAATCATCTTCCCATGAGTCCCAAATGGAAGCAGGAATCAATTTTGGATCTACTCCTATACGAACGTTTCTGTCTTTGTATTCATGTTTCAACCATTGAGTCAGTGTAGGAGTCTATAAAAATACAATAAAATGTATTTAATTAGTATTATTTAATAAGAGTATATAGTTTTTTGTCATTAATTATAGATTAATTTAGGTATAAATATAAAAAAAATTTAGATATTAAGAATAAATGTTAAGATGATATAGGTAAACAAAAATGAAGCCAAATACGATTTATCTAAATAATTCTAAAAATTTTTATTTAAAGCAATCTATTTTTCATAAAAGCAATAAATGTTTTACACATTACTATTTTACCTTTGCAAGTAATGGATTAGATTTATTTTCACTTTTAATCCATAAAAACTAATAAAAAATACTGATATTAATATGTCGTTTGCTATTGAATCATTTTATGTAATTTCAGAATGTTTCGGATTGTATACACTGAAAGAAATATTCAAAGAAATTTTACATATATTTCCATGATTTTTTACTTTAAGGTAATATAGTAATTTGGTTACAGACATTCTCATACCCATTTTTCGAATACTTTTTTACTAACAGCATATTGTCACGGTTCATATATTCCTAAATCGTGCAACTAGCATTAGCGTGTTATATTACCAGTATTATTTCTATACGCCGTGGTAGCGCAAAATCACATTTCTTTCACCAAACCGAATATTCAAGACGAAGTAGCAACGTAGCCATTCAAAATAAAGCTCCACAATCAAACCAAATAATTAGGAATTTCCTGTTCCAGTAAGTATAGTATTGATATATTTTATTATTAATCTAAATGAAAGTAGAATTTCTTTATTTTAGAGGTTTGCTAAATGGTATTTCTTATTCTTTTCTTTTATAGATTTCAAATTCAACAGATAAAGAAAATGATACTGTACAAGTAAATATAGTGGTAAATGATCTGATTTATACTGTAAATATATTATATTATAATCGAAAATATAACATTTGTTTTTATTGATAAAACTGAAGCGAAAAATGCTGTAATGTTATTGAAGCAGTAAATTGAATTACATTTCGAGGCTTGATTAAATATTAAGACTCAACTCAAGCCAAAGAATTTCGATACAGAAGTTGACAGTGCTACAGATGTGCTAATGTCTAGTCTATTTGCAAAATCAAACTTACCCATAAAAATGGTCGTGTTTATTATGACAGCGTTTCAGAATTTTTAACAATTCTTATTTTGCTATTTCAATGCAATCTTTAAATAATATGATTTTGAAATGCGATAAATTGGGTAACATTATAAACATTATGAAAAATTGTTTTCAAAACTACTCGACTTACCACAAAGCTTTAGCATCTTTAAAATGGTTATTTTATTTTGAAGCTAAAATGACTACTCATGTAGCAAGCGTTTTGAAACCAAAAAAAAAATAAGAAAAAAGAAAATATATACATTGGTGAAAGATACTGTTGCAAGTATCCCTTTGAGGCAAGTTTTAAAAATTTTTTTAGAGCTTCCAAATGTTTATTCTGCTATTATTGAATACATTAATAAGAAAGAAAAATGTAATTGTTTGTGTTCAATTTTTCGAAGCGAAAGATGGATAGGTATTAAAAATAAATTTGTAGGCCAAATTTTATTGTCATTAACCATTTTTGGCTATGATTTTGAAATTAATAATCCACTAGATTCGCGCAAAGGTTACAAAAAGTTACACAGTTTATATATTGTAATATAACAGCAATTCCACTCGAGTTCGCTAGTCTGTTAGAAAATATATTGTTAATTCAACTTTGTAAATCTGAGTTTAAAAAATATGTAAAGCATTCAAAATTGTTCCATCCAGTCATAGACCAATTAAAAGATTTACAAAAAAATGGTATTAGTATTACCATAGGTGATAAAATATCAACCGTTTATTTTGATATTTTTAACTTGAGTGGCGATAACTTGTGTTCTATGGGCGAAAAAGAGTGTAGAACTCCTTTTAAAGAAAATATAGACTTATTGCGATGTAGCGAAAAACATTTATCGGATATTGAAGCAAAAGGGAATGGCGTTAAGAACGAATGAGTATTTTCTGAGGTACCTGGTTTCGACATATTTAAATGTATTTCTTTTGACCCGATGCATGATGTGCTCCAGGGTATATGTAAATATGAACTTAGCGCAATTTTGTATTATTTGTCGATAAGTTATTTTCTTTTGCGATACTTAAAAAACGATTGGAGCATTATTGCGATAAAGTTGCATAAAAAAATGTTCCTCCACAACTTAATCTTGACCAGATAAAAAAAAATGTATCATAATGAGTGCTGCTGAGACGAAGTTTTTAATGTTTAATTTAACATTTATAATTAGGGATATGATTTCAGAAAAAAATGTTGTTTGGAAATTTTATTTGTCGTTAAGAAAAATAACTTTTTTAGCGTTTGCTCCAGTACTCACCGAGAAAAATGTTACTAGTTTAGAATAAGAAATTGCGCATCATCATTCGAAATATTGTCGAATATTCAAGACATGTTTGAAATCTAAACATCATCATTTGTTGCATTACCCTAGAATGGTTAGATTGCTAGATCTACCACATAAATTTTCTTATATAAGATTCGAAGGCAAGCAAACCTTTGAAAGAAATGACTAATGCGATAACCTCAAGAATTAACTCGGTAAAAGCTGTAAGAAATCAATTAGACTTGAATTATCGTTACCTTATCAGTCGTGGATTTAAAAAAAATTGAATGTGGCAAACAATTGTTTTTGAGTGTAATATTCCTAGATAGTTATAATGTATTTAAAAAAATGTTATCGCAAAATATTGTAACTACCTATGTCCCTATTTCATAGGTCATGGTCAACGGGATAAAGTATATTGAAAATTTTGTTGTAGTTTTCAAAATTGAGGATAAAACTGTACAATTTGAAGCAATTGTTAATGTTATCATAAATAGAAAAACGAATATTATCTTATTGTGTAGAAAAATCAAAATTATTAGCTACTTTAAACATTTATGCACATATGAAGTTGAGCTTCTGAATGAATACCTTCAGGTCGCTCATAAAAATTCACCGAAACAAGCTATTTATAACTTACAAAAAATGTCTAATTCAAAATTGTATGTATCATATGACATTTAATTATTAAGTTCAATAAAACACTTTGAAATATATTTTCAATTATGTGTTTTTTTTATTAAAACAGTTTTCAGACTGTTGAATTTTTTTTCCTATTTATTTTTTATTCTTATACAATTTTTAAATAAATTCAATATTTTGAATAAAAATTGTTTACATAATTTTATATAACTTTAAAACAATGATTGAGCTGAATAAAAAAAAATGTTGAATGGAATTGAATTCTAAGTAAAAGCAGGTTCCATAATGCAACAGTAGGTGGCAAACCTTAATAATACTTGTTTGCTGCAAGTACATAGAAATTCTTTCCATTAGTATATAAGAAACTTCAATACCCCATCACACATGAAATAGCGGCGAATGGCGAATCACCATTGCGAGCGTATATATGTTGGATAGAAACTGCGTGCGAAAAATCTGTGTATGTGTTAAAATTAACTTCTCTCAAAAAATGTGTGTGAATTGTTTAGGTGTGGGTCTACGGCAGCTGATATGAAGATAAAACAAAATTAACATTTTTTTCAAATACGTATATGAAGCAAAAAATATTTTATAGGAAATTTAGTTCATTATGTTAAAACAATCTTAATATTGAGTGAATAAACAAAAAATCTTATATTAAAACAAACCATATGTGTCGTCAGTTCAACAAAAGTTCTGTGGAATGAATTCAGTACAGACATCAGGTTAACAGAACACGCTCTGTAAAATGAATATACCGGGTGTCTTGAAACACCAAATGAGCATGATTGCTCCATTTCAACGGAGTGTCTATTGTTGATTCAACTATATTTTTTTCTCAGTGTTGTCTCGTCCGAACGAACCGATCAAAAAGTAAACGAGACGAGAATCTCTTTGCCGAACTTATTATATATAGCCCAAGTATTTTGCAAAATAACAATTTGAACGCACGTTTTTCATGGAGCCTGCGGCAGAATTCTACTTTCCGCACGGTGTATTGTCTTGTAGAGATTTATGGAAAAGCATATAAGACAAGTATCTTTTGTCCCGTTCTAGTTAGGTAATGTACTATTGTAGAGAGCTTTACTTCACGACTTTTAGTCAAATACCTCAAATTAATAAGAAATAACTTATGATAATATTACATTTTTCTGCATCTGTCGCATGAGAATCCAATTACAATCCATTTGAGAGTCTGCTTGAATGAAATATCGACCATCTGTCCATAATATGGCTTTGTTTGTGGTGATCAAAGCATTTCCAACACTTCCACTGAATCCTGTAATATATCTACGCCTTTCATCATGTCCTGCTACAAATTCACTCTACAAACGCAAAAAATCAAAATTATTTGTGTTTACATAAATAACTTAATTATGAATGCCAATAGCAATACAAACTCACTATGACGACCGTTGGTATTCGTATTGTTTAATGAATTGTTGTTATTTTTAAAATACATGTCATTTTTGTAAATGTAAAAAAATGTATATATAAAACACATGTAACATTTTAAATATAAAATAGTTTTTTTAATTCAAATATTCTCATTCACTTGAATATGGATTTTGTACTAATGCTACAAATTGATTATATACAATAATAATATTCTGACGATGAGACCGCCGATCATCAAGAAACGAAGATTAGAAGGTAGCTAAGCAGGTAATTTTGTTGATTGACGTCAAGCTAGTCAGTCGTTAATGGATCTTCGTGATGTTAGCCGTGTAGTTTCGATTAAGAAGGCAGTTTTTTTATATTTTTGTCGTTATTATTTCAATATTAGGATATCGAAGTTGTTACAATACAATAAGTATATGCATATGTTCAAAAATAATTAAATGTTCCATGTTTACCTTTTCTTTCATTTACTTAAAATTAAATACTTAGAGTGGTGGCCTTTGTTTTTGTAAATTTTTAAGAATTCAATAAATGTTATATAACAGAAATTATTTTGCTTGAATTATGCTTCGAGCTGCATTTTTATCTCATTACTTTATAAAATGTTGTCGATATATATATTACAATTTATAGTAACTTGTGTGTGTGTGTGTGTGTGTATGTCACTATAAATTGTATAATTAGTTTTTATTTTACTTATATAAATTGTACCTGATGTTCATCATTTGAAGTAACAATGTATCCATCGAGAGATGCTGTTTGAATTGTAGCAATTCGTATCATTTCACTTCTTATTGCTCGTAATCGACTTGTGGTATTAACTCTTTCAGGAGGTTGTTGATTGGGAAATTCATTAGCAGGACAAAATTTCCTATTTGATCCTTGATAATTCAACGGTGGCTCTGTTAAATCTTGCGCATCACCTGAAATCTCGGTACCTATAAATAGAGAAATACCTATAAATTGTTAAAACATCATGTGAAAATGTATAACGCAAAGAAAATATCTTAAAATTATTAGATTATTTTTAAATCTATAAAAATTAAGGTTGCAGTTTATAAGTTCTTCGCTTATAGGTAAGGATATAGATCAGAAATGTATGCTTATTAGCTTAATAGTTATAGAATTTTGAGTTCCCTGAAATTCTGTTTTATTTCATTCACAATATAATGCATTCTTTTACTTCTGAATCTCGACTTGTTTTATGACTTAAAATAGCAAGTAGTTACTTTTCCTATTAGTACAATTCTACCAAGCTTCAAATTATAATAAAAAAATAATAATTAAACTTACAAATCTACATGGCAAAGAATTTTTCATCATTGTGGCATAACATAAATATACGAGAGTAGTATTTCTAAAAATGATTGCCTGTTATAAATCATCTCAAATATTATGTGCCTTAGTCAGATATTTATTGAGATATGACTATAAGAAATATAAATATTTCCTTGTTTATATTATTTTTTCAAAAGGAAATATTAAAAGTAAAGACTATTTATTTCTATGACTGTACAAGAAACATGTCAAATAAAGCATCAAACAATAAGAGAAAAGCCCTTCTTCATTCTGCAGATTAGCTATATAACCGCAATGTCCGTACTAAAAACTTATAAAGTCCATTGCACAAAATGTCAAATTACGTTATCATCTAGAAGTAATTTACATTGAATAATCCTGTAATGTTTTTTTTGAAAGATAACAATCAAAATGCAAACGTCATTTTCAAAATGAAGTTTAATGTCAAAAATATCGTCATTTGTTGAAAATTGCTAGTATTTATTCTTTTCTTTGGTAAAAATACGTTTTACATAACTTTTTATATAATAATGGGATGGAGACAATTTTCTTCCAGAGCGTATATTAGTGTTAAACAAGAAAAGTTTCTCGTCTAACAATGATATTTTATAATTCATCGTTAAACGATTTAAAAATAATTGCCAGCAAAGGAGCTAGAAAAAAGCAAATCGCGGTATATGGTTGCTTTCAAATTACACAAATATAGAAAGTTTTTACATTAATTTCTGTTCCTGATTCCGAAGGTTATAGTTGTTCAATTATTTATTTAAAAAAAAAGTATCAGCAGGTTCGATTTTGATACTTCCCGTGATTTTATGAAATAATGCAACAATACTTCGAAGCCCAAAGTTTAAAGCGTTCCGGAAGCCAAGTGATTAGAGATACATGTCCAGCTCGATTGTCATGAATAAAGTGACTTGGCGATTTGACTAAAATGACGTCCTTTTATTTGGCAATTGACTGATAAGACAAAACAGTAATAGACCTGATCAAAAAGCACATCTTTTAATTCATACATAATTCCTTAGATTTAATTTTCATTTATTTTACGGAAGTGGCGTGAATAAACTTCGTCGCTACATGATATAAGTTACAGCAAATGCTCTTTAAATTGTCAATTTGTAACATAATTTAATAAACGTGTTAAGTGCATGACAAAATAAAAATGGATCACGCTACGAGATGAATTTGTGAAAAATAAGTACTACATATGTAAAGCAAATTATGATTGCATAACGTATTCTGCCGGGTTATATATAGCTTTTTTGTGATTTTCCAGGTACTGTGCGCGAGCGTATAAAAAGCGCGATGCGCGCGGAAACGGCCTCAGTACTAATTCACAATGAAGTCGTTCAAGTGTTTGACGTATTTCATCGTCATTGCATTAACAAACGCTAATGAAGAAATTACTGTTGACTTGTCTCAGGGCACGCTCAAAGGTCTCAAAACCACGACGGTTCTAAGCGGCAAACCTTACTGCAGTTTTAAAGGAATTCCATATGCCAAACCACCTATAGGACAGCATAAATTTGATGTGAGTAAATGTCAAATTTCAAAGAACTAACCACATCTGTCTATTTAATCTGGGCAAACTAAGCAAAAGAACATATATATATTTATAAATCCAATCATAGATAATATGATCATGGTTATATTTATTAACCCGGGGTTCTGGTAGATTCTTACAATAATAATTTACTTTCATTCAATTATCAATATAAAATAATTGATAATCTTCAATATTTTCCAAATTAGCTTGTCTTTTAGTATTATTCTGGAAATATCATAAAATTAAGAATAATAACATATTTTTTTCTTATAGTCAAATAACGACGTTACATAAAATTTTACTACATTCAACAATCTGCATTCAAAAAGAACAATAAATTATACTTTTTATTTAAGCATGTATATTTTATAAACAATTCGCCAAATAATTTAGCGCGATACAAGGAGCATTAAATGCTATAGAGTTTAGTCACGTTCACATAAGAGCGACTACACTGCAATTTCACAGCTAGACGACCAGCGTTATACAATCGGTTTAGTATTATCTATCAACTTGGATGTATAAATTTTAAAACTGGCAGATTATTATTACAACCATATTAGACCATATTAGACAAAAATTGAAAATTTATTTTCTTGAATTTACTTTTTAAATTAGTTCTTGTGCTTTCAAAGTTAATTATTGTATTAACGATTTCTACTGAAAGCATAATTAATGATAATTATATTTCTATTCATAATCATAATCATTAATGAAAACTCACATTGTCGAATATTTTTATTGCAAAATAATTAATAAAAGCATTATACGTAAAATTCATTGTCATTTTAAAGCCACCTGTTGCGCCAGACCCATGGATTGGTGTACTTGATGCAACGAATCATCGACAAACTTGTGTATTCTTCTGTATGATGAAACAAGGAATAGTTGGCGACGAGGATTGTTTGTATTTGAACGTATATACTCCCGATGTCAATAAAGATGCGAAACGGGCTGTCATGATATTCATTCATCCTGGGGGTTTCAATGCTGGTTCTGGGGACGATGATGTATATGGTCCTGATTTTCTGATCGAACAAGACGTTGTTGTAGTGACATTCAATTCAAGGCTTGGCGCTCCTGGTAACTATGCAGTCTTATGATCGTTGATATTAAAGTTTCATTATTACATTGAAATACCAAATTGTCTAATACAATTGTTACTTTTCATCCACAACGAAATCATTTAGCAAAACTTCTTTATTACAATATATATAATTATCCAACTCGATAATAATTTGTTGAAATAAATGTGAAATATTGTTAACACTATTATTTCTTTAGGCTTTTTAAGTACCGGTGACGCAAATGCTCCAGGAAATGCTGGTATGAAAGATCAAGTTATGGTTTTAAAATGGGTAAAGGAAAACATCAAAAATTTTGGTGGATGTCCGAACCGAGTTACTATTTTTGGAGAAAGTTCTGGCTCTGCATCGGTGCAATTCCATATGATGTCTCCGATGTCTCGTGGTCAGTACTATAAATATTATTTTCAACGTTTTTAAAAATAATTGAAAAACACTTCTGAACTCAACTATAATTATGATTTTATTGGACTAAAAAGGGGATAAACTAATACTTCGTTTTTTTGAAAATATTATAAATCTTGCTGACTGTATTGTGACATCTGAAAAATTGGTATGAAGAGTGATTAAAATATATTTTTCTTCTAGGTTTATTCAAAAGAGCAATTATGCAAAGTGGATCTGCACTAAATCCTTTTGCTCTAATATACAATCCAAAAGATATGGCTTTTAAGCTAGGAGAAACTCTTGGAATAAAAACTACTGATACTAAAGAATTGGTGGACAAACTTAGAGAGCTGTCTGTTCAAGATATTGTAACGGCAAGTCAAGAAGTTGCTAAGACAATGGTAAGAATAAATTTTATTTTATAGGAATATTGACATATGTTTCCTTTTAAACGTTCAAATTTTAACAGGGTATTTATCTGAAATACTCTTGATTGCTTTTCAAGAAAAATATTTAGATTTTTACATACGTTATTGACCAATCATAATTTTTTTAATACTACCAGGCATTTCAGTAATAAAAACTTTGGTTCTAGAACCATATGAACGGACACATGGGTGCTTTCACTCCTGTGGTAGAACCCGATGTAGGACAAGATATATTTTTAACCAATGATCCATGGACACTAGTTAAAAAAGATGATATTGCTGATGTTCCACTAATGATTGGTGTGGCTCTCGATGAGACTGCTTTTATAACTCCAAGTAAGTACCAATATTTAAGCATTACAGCCCCGTAAATGACTGAAAATTGAGTGCAATTAAGGTGAAAGTTGTTATTCAGTAATGGAATAGAATGCATGCATTCCATTTTTTTTATCAGATAAAGTACGTAGTAAGACTTTCTTAATGATTTTTTCTTATTTAATAGTCTCAATAAATTGTTAGTTTGGTTTTCTATTACCGCAGACTCAACAAACCAATTAAAATAAATATATTTCCAGTGTTTTTGCCCAATGCAGAAATGATGGATCAACATTTTGACATGTTTATACCCGATGATTTGAATGTTACCGATGCAAAACGAAAAGAAATGAGCGACATGTTACGCAAATTCTACTTTGATGGCAAAGCTCTCACTGCCGATGCAAAAGCACAATTTACCATGGTATAACTGAACCTATTATTTTACCTAACGCGCGTAAAGTGTTACTCGTGTGAGAATTCACAACGCGCGTATAAGCGAATAATAATTTACGTGATAATATACTAAGCGTAAATTGTTATTAGCTTCTCTCGCTGTGTCGACCTCGTACTATCCCACGCTACAAACATCCTCCCAATACCGTTCTGGCGCTTGGTTCGCCCAAGTTGTATAAATAAACTGATAAAGCACGAGGGGAAAGTGGGAAGTTACTAGCACACATTTGGGAGGTTTCATCGCGAGCATCAACTTATGCATGCTCTGAAGCAATGATTTACTTTCCTAGCTTGATATAATGCACTATTCAAATGTTTTGAACTGTTAAATATGAAAATGATCGTTCCTGTACAGATGACGAGTGATATATTCTTCGATGCCGGCATTCTGATGTCTTCTAGGATCATCGGCTCCCGAGACAAATCTCCAGTTTATGAATATCTATTTTCACACTATTCCCCGGTCGGAATCGTGAAAAATTTATTCAAAACTGAAGAAGGTAATTTATGCTTGCGATAAAATCATGATATTTTCAGATATATTAAAAACAACAACAATGCCATCTTGCTGAAATTGTAATTAGGAGTTTCCCATGGTGACGATATTGGATATCTATTTTATTCAAACGCTCTTAAGAACAAGCCTGAAACCGGTTCCCCAGCCGAAAAAATCATAAAAATAATGACAAAATTATGGACCAATTTCGCGAAAGAAGGGTAACGCATTAGAAAATAGATACTATTTCTTATTGCACGTATTATTTCATGACTTGACTCGTTAATGTTTGATTATTTCTGCAGAAACCCAACACCGAACACTGATGAAGACTTCACTGTTGCTTGGACTCCCATAGGTTCAGATGATAATTATCTAGAAATTAATCAACCACTTAAAATGGAAAAAGGCTTATTTAAAGAGCGCATAACCCTGTGGGCTCAACTCTACAATGATGTGCTGGGAGATTATGCAAAGTTATTTAAATAAGTTATAAGAAGTACGCTTCTATCAATTTTTAAATGTACTCATTCTATTACTATATGCTTTTCTACGTGTACGTAGCTGATGACGGTGAATACCATGTGCTACTTTTCTAAATTTGTATCCAATTGACGAGTGACCCTTGGAATTGATGTAATCTCGCGTTATCGAATAAAGGCGAACGTTTGCAAGTGAACAAGCTTGCGTAATTCATTGAGGGTATGCAAGTGGATCGAGCATGCAGCAATAGCAGAAGCAAGGCAAAATAGTACAGTGCTTAGGAGAGGAAAAGGGGAGAAGGGGAAAAGGAGCGCGGCTGCGCGTTGCTGGCAACTGAGGCAAGAAGAATTGGCAGAGTGCAGGATGGAAGAACGGTCGTTGTTGGCAAGGCCGCAGGCGGTGAGGAGCAAAAGGCGAGGACGAGGAGAGAAGAAAAAGAGCGAGGAGCGAGGATGGGTCGAGGGGCTGAAGGCGCGGGCGGCGAGAGAGGGGGCAGAGGGAGGGCTGGATCCGCACAGGCGTCTCTGCGAGCACGCGTCCGCGGAGATTCGTCTGGTTGGCCGGTCGGCTGGTGGTGGCCTGGTGGCGCGGCGCGACCAGGCGCGTGCAAGCCACCGCCTCGCGAGCCATGCGAGCCTGTCCGTAGTGAGACGCGCGCCTGCTTAAGTGGCTCGCGGTAACGAGGAGCCAAGGCCGGTGGCCTGTCTCCAGGCGCCTCCCCCCGAAGAGTCGCCCTCGGAAAAAGAAGGCCAGCCCATTTTTCGCGGTTCCTTCCGAGGGCCGAAGCGTCGCGGTCGCCCGCCATACTCGCAGGATCCCATCGTTCCCAGGAGGTGGAAGAGAGAGAGAGAGAGATAGAGAGCCAGAAGCCGCGCCGAGCATCGCGACGCCACTTCGATACCGAGCGTCAAGCGCTCTGTTCTACTCCTCCCACCGCTCCCTCTACCTCTCCCCCCACCTTTTCTCCTCCCGCCGCCCTCTGCATCGATGCGCACATCGCTCTCTCGCTCTCGTCAATGTCCAGCAGCTGCCAATTGTATACTTGCTACGTATTTCTCAGTCTTACGGGTCTAAAAAATACTCGGGTCTGCAATCATTAACTCGTTTCTTATTATTCTTTCTTTGGCTTTTCATTTATTTTTATGCTTGTCATTCTCACCTCGCCAACTCTTTATTACAACTTCGAACTTTATCCAGTGTAGATCTGCGCATTAGCCTATGGTATAGCAAAAGCCACTTTATGCAAAGAGCTGTTGTCTCTCGTTTTCTCGTGGCTATGATTGACGATCGCGATCGCGCCGTGTCATTTCTGTCGGTTTATGCTCAACGAGTTTGGACGTCTGACCTTAGTATCGTTTTCTAGAATTGTTAACATTAGCACGAATGTCGCAATGGGGCTTACGTGTCAAGTAATATAAGATTATACGTGTAAGCATGCATCCATAGGAATTTTTTTAGAAAAATATGTTGTTATTTTACTTTCTGCAAATCAATGCTGTCCCTACAGTATATGTACATGCTAATTTCGTAAACTTTTTAAGTCGACAATTGCTTGCTTGGTTTATCATTTTTTCACAGAAACTCTAAGCTCTACTTTAGTTCATAGTTTAATTGTAATATGTCATAAATAAAAAATTATTATTAGCTAGAAAACTAACTTGATAGTCATTTATTTATTTATTACGAATATACCGAATATATTCGATAATTATGTTGGAACGTTGCTGGAATAAGTATATATTAAAATCGATGTAATTAAAAGAATGTTGTTGTTCCAACGGCATATAGAAATTTTATAGCAGAAACATAAAGAGATAATTTAGATAGCAGTCATGGTCGAAAAACAGGCAAAATATAAGCGAAACGGAAAAAACGAATAGATGTCGAAAAGCGACTCGGGCACCGCGGAGAGTGCACCGGAAATAGATCAGGAATGTATCGAGGACAAGAGGTCCGAATGAGTGGCCCCCCCACCCACCCACCCTCAACCGTCAATCGTCAGAGGGTGTATAGACAACGTTGGATGATGCGACGGCCACAGTCGAGCATCAACGGCAATGGAAAAATAGCAGATATTGCCGGGAGCTTTGTAAAAAAAGTAGGCGCGACTGAAGTTATGTATGGTTGCGTCGGAGCGAGAGAGAGGCGAAATTTCGGAACTTGCGCTTTGTATTTATTGGAAAACAAGGGCGGCTGGGTAGCAGGAAAGCACGAGGGTGCTGGCGGTGGCGAGGTCATTTCACCCCCCTCGCTGGCTTTTGCGAGGGTGAGAGAGCGTTTGCCTGCCCCCGCACTCGGCACTCGCCACAACTCACGCGACGAATGACGAGCTAACGCCTCCGGCTGTAAAGTTTACACGGATAGCTGTGTATACGGCTCGCTTGCATGTACTGAAGCTCTGCAAGTCGCACTGGCTAGCTGGCACTATTCTGCCCTTATTCTCGGTCTCTTCTTCGCGTCGATCTCTTTTGTCAATGTGATCTCTTTCCGAATCCAATCCAATTTTCCAAGTAACAAATTCTTGCGAATTAATAGCCTCAGCTATTCATCAGAACAAGGACGAACGGCAAGTGAATGAGTCCGCGATCGAGCTTGTAAGACATGGTATAGGTAAAGATTGAAGAGGGCGAGCAGAGCATAGTTGAGCTCGAACGAAAGGTGCTAGCGAAAACTCGTTAAAAAGGTATTAGAGCAGCATCAGTATTATCCGGTGTTGAGCCTGGCCATTGCTCGCAATGTCGCTGATTAATGATGACCATTGAGCCTTGCGCTTTGACAAAAGTTACAGCTTGCTTTACGAACGCCGAACGTATATGTTACGTTCGTGTGGCCCCACTCTCTCCTCTCGGCAGCGCAGTGGTAAAACGCGCGCGCAGTGGCGAAGTAATGGGTTAGAGCAGACAAGCGTATTGGATACTAGGGCCGCAGAAATAGCGCTCAGACATCGCAGCAACTCGAGCGCTTTTTGCCTTGCACCATTTATTCGTATGTACGATTATTTCTCGCTTTCCTTCTGCTGACTCACTCCGACCTGTTCGTCTGTCAATTTTATTGAAAATAGCCGCTTCGATGATTTTTTATTCTTCCACCGAATGTACTGTCAAACATATTGGATTTATCATTCATGTGTCAATGAAGATTGGAATAAAAAAGGATTAATTCGTTCGGAGAAATGCCTGCCAACGATACTGGACTGATATATCGATGAGTGGCGAGCGAGTTGGAAACGCGTACTGGCGCAGAGGCGCATTCCGCGCGAGTTGGGACAGCAGAGAGTTTGCCGCGGCGTAGGAAAGCATGAGGAGAGGTCGTGCGGTGAGATTGGAATAAGCGATGAGCGGGAGGAGGAGAGGGGTTTGCTGCTAAGCCCCTTATACCGACGGAGAGATGAGTAGCGCGCGTGGAGCTGCTGTGCACCATGCTAACCTGATAGCTCACGCGACATGTTGTATTAAAAAAAAACTAAGTCAAAGGCGGCCATCGGTTGCACAGAACCTGCCCTGGGCTGCAGTTTATTCTCTATAATTAATGGTTTTTTTCACAGTTGAAGCAACCTAGCTAACGCGAAGGATCAACGGATTTGCCAAAAACAGGAAAGGTTGAGTTCGTTGAGCGACAGTCGGTTCCGTGCACGGCTGAGCTGCACTGGTACGGCTGGACTGGCACTGCCCCAACTATATCGGTACCTTAGGCAGTTGTCGGATGCAGGAGGGAGACAAAGCACTACAGGTGGGACAATAACCATTTTTTGTTTACAGATATTGGATAAGTGACAGCGGAGCGTAACAGGGCCCCATGAAGCACCGAGGATGTGTCTCGTGTCCGGTTCCCTCGAGCTGCTGCCGCGAGGAGAGTAAGAGAGAGAGAGAGAGAGAGAGAGAGAGAGAGAGAGAGAGAGAGAGAAAGAGAGATGGCAGGCAGGTGCATCTTCAGAGCCGGACTGAGCAGCGAGCGCAGGCAGTATGCGATGTCTGAACGGCGGCCAGCATTAATTAGGGTGGAACAATAGAGACGGAGAATTGGCAGCAGGGCCGCATCACGGCCAGGAGGTCGAGGCTGCGTGGGAGGCAGCGCAGGCCAACAGCCACGAAGGCGCTCAGCGCGTGCCGGTTGAGCGAGCTGACCGCTCTGCTTCTCTTGTCTCTCCCCCCCCCCCTCTCTTTCTCTCTCTCTCTCTCTCTCTCTCTCTCTCTCTCTCTCTCTCTGCCGAACTTGGGTCGCGAGACTCAGCTGGAGCAACAACTGGCAACTGCTCGCACGCTGTCGCGGTTTGTTTTGCGCGACCCTCGCCTTCGATATCGTATCCTATGTGCACGCCGCACACCTTGCACAGCTACGAGCATGTGTGCGATGTCGAATGCTTGTGACTGTGACGCACCGGCAAACTGGCGCAGCTTATCGGGAAAGCATCATGTCTCCGCACGACCCTCTCCTTCTATCCTTTACTTTCTCGATACTCGCGGGGACTACTCTGTGTCGTATCTCTTTATACCTACAACCATGAACCAATCCCAGTTCGGCGATCGTCCGGCAAATTATTCGGAAAAGTCATCGTTTCCGATGTTTATATTCCTCGTAATCAGTGCGATGCAACAAGCTGATCGCCAATGCCAACTGTTCGGCCGATCGAACGATTATTATTCGCGTCTGCTTGAAATCTTGCTGTTGACTGTGGCTATGTTTGTATTTGTTCACGTTCACGCACATTACGTCGTCGACTCGACACGCCTTGTATTAGGGTTACATAGCCAAGCTGTCTGTTGGTCGTACGTATAGCGCGCAACGCAATCGCTACTGCGTGCAACGCACACCCATAACTGACTTTCACATACGTACGCGGCCATGCCTATATATCTGTCGTTCTTCAAAATTTCCATCCGAGCCTCGCACTCTTATCGCGATATTACTACCATCTGCTCCACTTTTAACTTATCAACATATCCCTTGTATATCATTCAAAAAGCCAATATTTCATCGCACCTTTACAGAGATAAATTCTTCATAAATAAAAGCTTATTTCAAATTTATTTTTTTAAATTACTAGCAAAGTTATGCTTCAATTCAATTAATAATGAAACCGGACCATTCTGGAAGCATACTCTTTCAAATAAAGTCAGCCTTCACTAAAATTGGTTAAATCGTTCACATATATCGAAAAATTTATCTCGAATGACAGGCCCCCCTTATTTTTGAAGTCTT